TTCATGTGTCAAGATCAACCAAAGGTCATTCGAGGATACTTGAAGCCAACATAAAACTTGGCCTTTTCCAAACAGAATATATGTCATTCGACGCGGCTTGACAAGACGAATGCGTTGGTACCAGTGACCCACTGCCGTAGCTCTAGAACCATTTTTGTTAGAAGTTATTCGCGAAAAGAAAACTAAACCTCCACCTCGGTGTCGTTGATCTGACCTCTGATTTCAGGTCACCAAAACTATTTTTGGTATTGTTCTAGTCAAATGCTACACAGCCGTGCTCGTAATTTGTCTTTCTCTCTAAAACTATATTTTTGGCACCTCTTTAAAGATCACGTCTCTGGCGCCGAAGTTTGATGTGCAGGGGTCTAGACCTGTGACGTCATCAAGGAAGCTAGGCCAAAAACTTTTGCGCTCGAAGATGTCAAATGGATGGGAGAAAAGGTGCTGAAAGCCTCACTTTCCTATCCCTAAGCGTTCGGGAGCTATGGCTAATATTCGCCAGGTGGGGGGCGGCAAAAAACTTCCACCGGGCCTGCGAGAGTGAAATATACTAATACATTTCTAGTAAAACGATGAAAATACAACATTTGAAATTCGAAGAGTCAATGCTGCACATGTTTCTAGTAAATGGTGTGATTTTTATGCTATTCGGTGGATCACTGAGAATATTTGTGTTTCAATCATGTCATGAAGAAGTTACTTTTTTGCTCAGACGTTCACTAGAAGTACACGCACGTGAATGGGTCACTTTCATCCCGGCGCCACTGTCTGGAGCCATGACTTCGCACTGGCTCATCATCTCTATTTATAGTCACCGTGATCATCTCATTGTAGGGTGACACGTTCTCTCAGGCCGATGGCTCTCTGGAAGTGGCACCCACGTAGCACCAATGTCAGAAGGAGTTTCCAGTGTTATAACCATATTCAGCTGGCTCAAATGCTCTGTTGGTTAGTGATCCTAGGAAAGGTAGCTTTTCAACCAGTTTTTTTTTTGTCGTCTACCGGCATGCAGCTTTTCAGCGGGTATTATTTGATCTTCTGGCAAGAACCATGGTTTATTTTCCCTTACAGTCGATTGATTGTTGCATCTTCTTGGAATGTCGGTGTTCAGAAGCAAGCTAAGCGCCGTTCCACTCTTACCTCTCGAAACAGGACTTGGTGTTGAAACGAATGGCATCCATGGGCATCATTTTTTGGCTTAGTATTTTAATATTTGACACACCTTCTATAAGTAAGACCATGCAGGCGCGGATCCAGGGGGGGGGGCGACGGGGGCGGCCGCCCCCCCCCGCCATCCGAAAAAGGCGCCCATATCCCGCGGCAGAGAGGGCGCCCCGAGCAGAAGAGCGGCGACACAGCAAAGGTTCAGCAGAAATAGGGCGCCTCCAGCAGAAGTTGGGCTCACCAAGCAGGAGAGTGACGCCCAATTGCCTATTCCCAGCAGATGAGAGTCGCCCCAGCAGCAGATGGGCGCCCCCAGCAGCAGATGGGCGCCCCCAGCAGAAGAGGGCGTCTCGTTACAAGAATATAAAATACCTTCTGTTCAAGAGGGGCGCCCCTGGCAGCGGAAGGGCACCCTTAGCAGGAGACGTGTCCCCCTGAAGAGGAGCGACTGACGCCCCAGCAAAAGGAGAGAGGCGCCCCCATTCCGAGAAGAGGGGCGCCCTGACAGCAGCTGGGCGCCCCAGCAAAAAAGGAGCCCCATAATAAGAAAATGGGTGCCACTGGCAGAAGAGGGGCGCCCCAGCAGAAGAGAGGGGTCTCCAGCAGGAGACGGGCGCCCCAAGCAGAAGAGGGGCGCCCCAGCAGAAGAGAGGCGCCACAGCAAAAGTTAATCAGAAATAGGGAGCCTCCAGCAGAGGTTGGGCCCGCCAAACAGGATATGGGCGCCCCATTGACAATATCCGGCAGAAGACAGACGCCCCAGCAGCAGATGGGCGCCCCCGGTAGAAGAGGGGCGCCCCATTACAAAAAGAAAAGGAGTATATTCTACCAAGAGGGGCGCCCCTGAGTCTGACGACAGCGGAAGGGCAACCCCAGCAGAGGGGCGGTGCCCCAGTAAAAGGAGAGGTGTGCCTCGTTCCAAGCAGCAGAGGGTCGCCTCGCCCCAGAAAAAAAAAACAGGAGCCCCATAAGAAGAAAAGGGGTGCCTCTGGCAGAAGAGAGACGTTCCCCGCAGTGGAAGGGCGCCCCCACAAGAGAGGCGTCTCCAGCAAAAGAGAAGTGCCCCCTGCAAGAGAGGGGCACCCCACCAAAAGTTGGGCAGAAGTGGGGCGCCTTCAGCAGAATTTGGGGTCGCCCAACAGCCAACAGGAGAGGGCCGCCCTATTCACAGTAGAAAAAGACTCCTCAGCAGCAAAGGGGCGCCCTAACAGAAAAGGTGCACTCGTAGTAGAAGTGGGACGCATCAGGAAGAAGAGGGGCACTTCTATGAGTTCTAGCAGAAGATGGGCGTCCCAGATAAGTGGGCAGCCTACAGCAAATTGGTCGTTCTTAGAAGGAAGAAATGAGGCGACTTAAGCAAAGTGGGTCTCTCCATAATGGATTAGGCGATCCAAGCAGAGGTTGGGCGCCCCCAGGAAGTGAGGCATACCAGCATAAGTGAGACGCTTCCAGAAAAAGGAGGGGGCATCACCGGGAGAAGAAGGACTGCACCAGTAAATGGAGGCCACCTTTTTGCTAATATCTTTTGCTAGAGTAGCGGTGCCCATCTACGACTTTTAACCCGTGCCGTGCTGGTGGTCTGAGTTTTCCATGTCCTGCTCGGGAGGGGGGGGGGGGGGCACACTCCCTCGTCTAACTCGGCTCCTGGGCCGCGTAGTGACACGCGATAAGCGGCATTCGAAAGATCGTCAAAAAACAGGACGAAAACAAAACGGTCATTTTTAGGCCAGGTCGAATGTCAGGTCACCAGAGGTCATCAAAGGTAAAATGTTGCCTGTTTCAACATTCTTCCGTTTTCGAAGCAGCGGCACATAACTCGGAAACCACTAGAGCTATAGCGCCGCAGAAAAGCGCATTCGATAGCCCTTTTAAAGGTGTTTCTGCAAGCTGCGCTCAGATTTGACCTCAGGTCAACGGTTTAGCCTTCAGAGGGCAAAAGACTCTAAAAATAGCCTTTTTACGAACAATGTTTTCCTGCAATAACTTTTGACTCAAGAGAGTCTCGACATTACGTTTGCCAGCATTGCGTTTCTGTCGTCGAGACACGTCGAACAAACTAAAGATTGACCTTATGAAAGGTAATTTTGAGAATTTAACCTCAGGTCAAGATCATGACCTGACCGGGAAAGGTCATGCTGCATAGCAGTCGATGCGTATCGTCGAGCTGAACACAACTGAGGTGTTTTTATCGCTCTAGCTTGAATTCATCAAAAGTTATTAAAAAAAACTGCTGCGGACCTTTCATGACATGGGATGACCTCTGGGACATAATGAGTGGTCACACTAGGTGCAATGTTCTTATTCAGTGTGATAATTTTATATGTATCCCAATGCTTGATATTGTCTAGAATGGCGCTCGTCCAAAAGAGATGCTTTTCAGTTTTATCCCAAAGACCAACCTACCTAATGGAGACGTCGCACAACTGACCTGACCTTAGGTCACAGATATCGAAATTCCGAGATATACATTTCATGAACAGTGTTGCTTTCATCAATCGCTGAAAGGTTCAAAGCAATCGTTCAGTCGGTATAGCAATGGTAAGCATTTGAACTTTTTCTTAGGCTAGGTCACTTGGCATAAGCTGGTGACCTGACCTTCCATGACCCGCGTCAGACATTTTTGCAACATGTGCAAAAAAGATGCATGATAAGGTATGCTGAAAATGGCGGCGCTGCGCGCAGCAGTTTTTCAGATATTTGCGAAAAACCTGAGGGGGAGCGCGATAACGCCCCCTAGCACGCCGCGGGCTTTTAGCTCCCGATTTTGACGGTTTGGTGCCCCCTTTGTATGGAGCGCCCCCGGATTGCCAGGTCGCCCCTATCTCGACTTGCCGCCCCCCCCCCTCCCGAAAATTCCTGGATCCGCCCCTGAGACCATGTAAGACAAAGGAAAAAATGGCAACACACGTGCTGGTGTCATTCACTGCTCTATTTTCCTAGGATTTTATAGCATGATACGTCTAAACCAAACATAATCGTGGTTAGTCATGGTTCAGGATCAGCAAAAAAAGCAAAAACTTGTCACTTTATTTGTGGAATAAAGTGTGCTAGCATGAAAATGAATAAGTCGGATCTTGCAGCTGAATTATATCGAAAAAGGATGGTGGCGTTTGAAAGTCAACTCCCACCTCGCTCATAGCATCTCACGATTAAACAGTCTCGCATCACGCTTCTTTTTGTGAATCAATTAAACGGATGTCTGAGCCATTACGATGGTTGGCAATAATCGACCATCAGATTCGAATTCAGAGTCGAATTGCCGTCCCACTCTCGTCCGAGCGCCGTCCCACTCAAACTTTCGCCCAATTTCGGTACACCACCGTATAATTGTAAGAACTGTCCAAATTCGACCAAACATCGTCCAAATCCCGTACAAGTCCTGTCCAACTCCCGTGAAACTCCCCTCCAGCCACAAGCGTCCTTTTCATTTTCCTGGCATATCCCATCGAACTGCTATAGCGCCGTCTGCAGCTTTCATCCAGCTCCCGATTAACTTCCACCCCAACTGCAGACAATTTTGCAGATTACCGGCAGACCCTTGTTCACCTTCCTCTGGTATCCCATCCGAATTCGTTCAAATGCTAACACTGTCCACATTGTAGCTCCCGCCCAACTCGTGTTTAACTCTCATCAAACTCCAGTTTAACTCCCTCATCGCGTAGGTTGGTCAGCCCAGCCTCTGTCGGTGGAGGGCCGCCACGTCAGCATTCCGTATCCCAGCACGGCGTGTTCCGGGCCGGACGATAAGATAACGTCGTCACAACTCCTCGGTGGCAGGGCAGCGCCAGCCCCCTCCCCGGTGTAAGTACCGGTGAAATGTTCACCTCCAGACTCCCACAGCATGCCGGTGGGGCGGGGCGCAGACGGCGCCGGCCTCCGCTGGCGGAGAGTGGGACCTACGAGAGCCCCTGGCGTGTCGGGCGCGGACAGAGGGGTCCGGCGGGGTCCTCAGGGCGCAGGGCAGCCGCCGCGGCTCCGGCGGCGTGGTCCGTATCGCTCCTACACTGCTAATCCCCGCCGAGTCAACAGCTCGCTATCGCCGCCGTGCCGATAGCGACACGCCATTTTGAACGAGTCGTCAGTTGCCGCTGGCTGCCGGTATCCTGCGGCTACACGGCGGCGGAGAGCTACTGAGGAGTCTGCGGAGGGCGACTGAGGAGTCTGCGGAGGGCGACTGAGGAGTCGGCAGAGGGCTACTGAGGACCAGCGTGGTGTCAGGGACTGGCCGACTGCAGGACTGACGGTGGCCGCGCGGGACGTCAGCCATGCTGCTGCGGTGGCGAGGAGCGGCGGCAGGTGGGTGCACGGACGGGTGCAGACTGCAGACCGCTCGGCACAGGGCAGGTCCGAGCAGTCGGGCAGAGCTGGGCAGGCTGGCTGGTGTCTGCGTTTTGCTAGCCGTAGCTTCCATAAGCGTTGGATGACCTTGATATTTGCACACCTTGCATTTGATCCAAGCCAGCTCTTTTGAAACCAACTACATTTTCAGGTGAAGTCAGCTCACTGATCTATAACCCCATAAGCAAACCTTTGCGTGGTCCTAAGATGTCGTAGCTTCTTGGAAGCCTTCAATGCCCAAAGAGCTTTTGCAGGGAGATAAAACTTACAAGGCTCAGTAACCTCCTGAGGCCTAAGAACTTGTCCGTCTGGGATTTTTCCTTAACCTGCGCCGTCAATTATCAGATGTCTTTTCGCATATGCTATGAAAATTTCAGACCCGGGTCATTCAATGTCAGGTCACCAAGTCGCGACCTTACGCCAGGAAAAGTTTTAACGCTCGCCATAGCTATACCGACTGAACGAATTACGATCGCTTTGAATCTTTCAACAACTGATACCTAAATGTAACAGTGTATATAAAATGTATGACTAGGAATTTTGATGTCTGTGACCTAAGGTCAGACAAATTTCACGAACTCTTCATTTTAACCCGCGCGGGGCTGGGGTCTCCAGCCGAACGCGCGGGGCTGGGGGGGGGGGTAAATTTTACCCCCCCCCCCCTGTTATCTCCCGAACTAATGGTCCGATTTGGAAAATTCAAACGCCAATCGAAAGATCTCATCACGAACAACTAAAACATGTACTTAATTTTAAGTTTGAGGTCAAGGTCAAGGTCAGGTCAAGGGTACAAATTGCACGTTCCTACAGTAACGGCCTTACACCGTAGTTGCCTAAGAATGGAGTCATGGACTGAGACTGATTGCCCAAAACGTGTTATTAGGCTACCAAGACAATATTCGTTGCATACAATATCATTCAGAGGTCAAGGTCAAGGTCAGGTCAGGTCAGGTCAGGTCAGGTCACCAAAAACAAAATATAGAAAAAGGCATGTGCGACACATGTTTTATGGGTCATTTTACTCATAGAATTCAATAGGCACACTCAATAAGTGATATGGACCACCTCTGGATGAATTTCAGGTCGAGGTCAGGTCAAGTGAGGTCAAATTTTGAAGTTGGTTGTTAAGGCCTAAAAAGGTGTCTATCTGATGCAGTTTTTCACGACGAATCGAATGGTGCTATTTTTGTTTCCGTACGAGGTCTAGAACTTCCAAAAACGTCATTTTTCAAAAATTTGTGTGTCGTGACGTCATAAAATTTTGAATAACTCCCACATTTTTGAACCAATTCTTCTAAAGATTGGCATGTAGGTGCACATAGACCATTTCTCTGACATATATTCCGATTTTTCGGTACACTCAAAATTTTGGATTTTATAATTATTTTCCTAAAAAAGTTAGTTCTTTGAAAAAATTGGGCCAAAATCCAAAATTTTCAAAAAAAACCGAGATAGCAATTTGATAGACAAAGTAGAATTACGTATAACCTTTTTATTACGTCTTGATTCCTTTAACCCGCGCACCGACGGGGGTCTGCGCCAACTTAGTTCCGACGGGGGGGGGGGCGGATAACCGCCCCCCCCTGAGATCTCGAGAACGAAGCAAGATAGCGACAAGCGGTAAACGGCATCGGATACGCACGGTCAAGATCTACAATTTTTACTAAGGTCATTTTCAGGTCAGGTCAAAGATGACGTCACAGGGGTCGAAAAATGCAAAATGGCGGCGCTAGATATGGAGAGAGTTTTTCTCGAATAACTTTCGAATTAGTCAAGATAGGAGCAAACTAAGGGCATCATCGTGATCCTCTCGTCAATCCGCATCGAATGATATATATGTTGACCTCGAAAGGTCAAGGTCAAAGGTTGACCTCAGGTCACGTGACCTCGAGGTCATCATGTATATCATTCGATGCGTCTTGACGAGCTGAACACAATGAGACCATCCACGCGGCTGTATCTTGTTCCTGTACGGAGTTATTGGCCAAAAACCTTTCGTGACCTTTGATGACGTCACATGACCTCACAGCTGCTCAACAGCAAAACAGACCTCAAGGTAGTGAAGGTTGATCGTATATGAAGTCATGTATGGTATATGGGGCCATTCCGACCCGTTTTAGTGGTAAAAATAGGGAGTTGATTTTTCCCCCATTGACTTATAATGGGGAGGTCGCGAAATTGACCTGACCTTAGGTCACCGATATCAAAATTCCGAGATATACAAATTGTAGTTACTAATGACCTTATAACATCCTGCGACTTTCAAAGGCCTCCGACATCTACTGTAGCTCTGGCACGGTGACAAAGTTGCAAAAAAGTGACTTGAGGTTGGGTCATTCAAAGTGACCTGGTGACCTGACCTTAAAAGGTAGGAGGTTCAAACTTGCACACCATGTGTAAAATTGATGAGGGAATAGTCATACCAAATTTCGCGGCGCTACGCGCCGCGGTTTTCCCGCTATCCGCGAAAAACCTCAGGGGGGGCGGATATCCGCCCCCCCCCGTCGGTGCGCGGGTTAAAAATGAAGATGTTAGCGGCGTTTGAAATTTTGCCGTTTTTGAGGCGAAAATAGCGAACATGACGTCACGAAAACGTCAATTTCTCAAAAAATGTCCGACGGATTTCGCTCAAATTTTCAGGGAACGTGTCAAATTGATGTAAAAAAAGGTACTAAAAGTTGTTTTTTGAGATATTGCAATAATTCGCGAGGGGGGGGGGGGGGTAAAAAAACCCCAGCCCCGCGCGGGTCAATCGGAGAAAACTGTACTACGCCTTTTTTGGACGAAATTCAAACTAAACACTCTCAAACACCCAGTCATAAGTAAAAATGACACACGGAACCGGAAATGGCACCCGCGACCTCTCCTTATGTCTCTGAGGTCATTTCAGGTCATGAAAGGTCACCAGCAGTTTTGTACTTTTGATAGAGATGCGCTAGAGCGGTGAAAACACCCCAGATGTGTTTAGCTCGACGATACAGATCGACTGATATTTATGCAACATGACCTATTCCTGTCAGGTAGGTATGCATGACCTTGACCTGAGGTCAAATTTTTAAAAAGGACTCCTTTTAATGTCAAATTATAGATTATTCGATCGACAAGAGGAACACGATGCTGACAAGATTAATGTTGTGACACTTTTGAGTCAAAAGTTGTTGCAGAAAAAAAAATCGTCAAAATGGCGTTTGGTTTTTGCCCTCTGGAGGCTAGACCGTTGACCTTACATAGTTCAAATCTGAGGGCACCTCCCAGAAAGAAAAGAGGTATCGAATGAGCCTTTCTGCTGCGCTATAGCTTTATTGGCCAGCGCGAGTTATGCGCCGATTTGCCAAAATTGCTGAAGTAGGCAAAATTTGACTTTTCAGGACCTCTGGTGAGCTGACCTTTGACCTGACCTAAGAAATGACTGAGCATTGTTTTCATTATTTTTTATGCTATTTCGAATGCCTCTTACTGCGTGTCGCTACGTGGCCCAGGAGTCGAGTTAGACGGGGGGACGTGAAAACGCTTCCCTCCCCCAGTACGGCATGGGAAACAGCCCACCAGCACGGCGCGGGTTAAAGTCACTTGAGGTCAGGTCATTCACGTGCTCTTACCATTGGGATATTGGCAATGGGAGAAATGCGAAAACTGGTGACGGTGTTTTGGCGCCGGAAATGCTAACACTTTCTCAAGCACATGGAATCGTGATTTCATGTGCGCTTTCCAAGGTCCGATACATAAATTTTGCATCGTTGACTTTTTCACTAATGTCATCGGATTTTTTGTCCAGTCTCTGCGTCTCGTAGCGTCGTACACACTACACACTCGTATTTTTTTCGCCGGGCTCTTGCTCAATAAAAGACGAAACGCGACGGGGTTCTACCAAGGATGTAGAAAACCGTATGTACTATGTATGTAGAAAACCGATAGGTCTGGGGAAAGTTGCTTCTTCGCTAATCGATTGTTCAATGTCCGCCTGATGACGTCTTGGGGCAACAAAAAGCGTTGAATAAGCATTTTAGCAGGAAAAGGCCAATTAGTACACCATGTAAACATTTGCTAGGCCACCATTTTCTATAGTTATATCCCCTTCCAGTGCAAAATTATGTTTAAGCACTTGTATTGTCTCTGCGATGCGAGAAGGCTCTTGGTAACAAGGAAAATAAACATTGATGCAAATATGCTTGTGAAAGGGTAACGTTGAACAAAATGTAAATGTGGGAGATATTGAACGGTGAAATCTCGCGTGACTTGTGTTCGATCACGGTAAAACCTAATGGATGCTCCTGTTCGCACAAAGAACGCCCAGCACATGGGCCATTGAGCCATCCCGCTGCCGAGGCGTTGCGCCATATCTCGGAGCTCGCTCTCTTTGTGTGCCGGCGGCGGAGCAGGGTTCCGGCGGTCACTATCGGGTCGCTGAGGCATGTGTGACTCACTGATAGTAGTCGATAGTGACGGCGATACCTGCCCGGCGCACGGACCACTGAGTCAACGCGGAGGAGAAGGTGCGCGCCTATCTCTGCAGCGCGATGCACCTACCGGGCAGAGACCCGGCACCAGTCCGCGGCCGGGCCAACAGCCGCGGACCTGTGTACCAGTAGCTCCCTGTCTCAGGCGTGTTTCAAGCTATCGCGAAAAAAAAAAAACAACTAAGGGTGGCGGTAACCGACCCTCCGTCGGCCGGCAAGGGTTGAAATAAGCCAACGCTTTAGAAAGGTCAGGCATAACTTTCCCTGTCCTGTATTAGCGTCAGCTATTTTCGGTTGCATTTATGGGATGAAAGAGTTGCTCGGCTGTGAATTGCTACATTTAAGCAATACCTCATTAGACGCGACTTGTGAAGACGAACGTGTTGCTACCACTACACATGTTTGTCTCGACTAAAGGCACCTCTCCTCCCTCCTCTCCCTCTGCTACCATTTTGTTTATGTTTAGACGTGGCTCATTACTGTAATACACTCATACACTGCAAAACATCGCCGGTCCCGTAGCTCAGTCGGTAGAGCGTTGGACTCCGCGTGGTGAGAGCACGCGTTCCCGGTTACAACAGTACGGGTTCGAAGCGCGACGGGCGCTTGACATTTATGGGCCCCATGACAGGTATGGTTGCGGTCGGTGGCAGGCCGCAGCCAGGCGACGTCAGTGAGGGGACCGGCCGTGCGGCGTGCGCGGCTATGTGCGCACGTAAAACTTTGGACTCTAAATTCTGCCATAGAATTAATTGGAATTGCGCGATCGGAGGGTAGAGGGCAGGGTCACCGCAACAAGCTTCGCTTAGCGGTGGCTCTGTCCTTGTGAATCCTTCCTAGCAAAAAGGTTCGGACTAAATTAAAAAAATTACTGAAGATTTGTTACAAAATACGTCGATGTCGGAAAGCTGCCTCTTTTCCAACTAGGGAACGTTCATTAGAATCCGGGTCATAGCTTGTTCATGCGAGAGCGAGTTTACTGCACTCCACTGAAACAAAGTTCGCATTACTCTAATGGAAAGACGGTGTACATGAGTTGCACCACACGAGCCCGTTAGCTATGCAGTATGCACCAAAACATCGTTCTCATATAATTACGATTATAGCATACATGCAGAGCCAATTACACGATGAGGCATGGCCAGCTGTCGCACGCTCCTATACGAGCGACGTATGTACGGGCAGCTATGTTAGATATTCTAGTTGATGGAGCAGCTTGACTGACTTGGATTCTGACTGCGGAAGGCGTAGTGCGGCCTCGACCTCCGCCAGCTCCTATTGCGGGTGTTCCAGCTCTCCCTAGCTGAAAGACGCCGGAGTTGACGGAAGGAGACAAAGGAAAAATAAGAAAGAAAAAAAAACGAAAAACATGAGCGGCCGCCGTCTGACGTGCCACTCACGCACTGGAGGCGCCCTGCGGCCGGCGCAGTGTCCTCGCCAGGCCGGGCGGGCTGTGTTTGCTTACCCGACCGCTGGCGCTTATCTAGCCTCCAATTGGCGCCCGCACCCTCTGTGGCCGGCTCCCTCATATGCCGGGCACCTCCAGGAAACGGGGGGCCGGTTGCACCTCTGACGCCAAGCGTTAACGTATTTTGCACGGAACTGACGTGAAAAGACCATTAACGTTGGCGTCGCCGGCGCCTGCGTGGTGTGATGAGCCTGAACTGAGGGGCCGGACCTACCCGTCTCTTACCTCGGTATCCGGGAGGATTTGGCGTAGTGCGGCCTCGACCTCCGCCAGCTCCTATTGCGGGTGTTCCAGCTCTCCCTAGCTGAAAGACGCCAACGAGACCTGCACGCTTACCGAGCTGTTCTGTTGTGTTTTAGTGCTTCTGCTGGCTGGTGTGGTTTCGGCACTCATCCCAGACAACATCTACCAGTGCTACAAGGATGAAAACTACGAGCTGTTCAACAGGGCCAACAGACAGGTAATCAGGCGGCAGGAGCGAATGTCGGTCACTGGAGACAGGTAAATAGGCGGCAGGAGCGAATGTCGGTCACTGGAGACAGGTAAACAGGCGACAGGAGCGAATGTCGGTCACTGGAGACAGACAGGTAAACAGGCGGCAGCCGGACGAGTGTCGGTCACTGGAGACAGGTAAACAGGCGGCAGAATGTCGGTCACTGGAGACGTGAGCAATGAGCATGCTGCGACAGACTTAAGTCTTATTCTTTGAAATGATCGCATCGTATCGCAGAAAAAGTTAAAAAAAAAACTGAATGTATGGCTGTAATCAGTACATATGTAATGCTGAATGGTTGTTGACTTGATAAAGCAACTCTGATCAATTTTTTGTTCGGTAGGTATCGAATGCTTTGTAGATATCTGAAATCACTCAGTGACTCAGTAAGGATTGGAAGCACACAGGTGTCAAACTACACACCGTAACTAGATAAGCGGCGATTTGTATACAAAAGCTAAAACATTGCTCATTAGAAAAGCGCTTTATATTGAGAAAAAAACGGAGTTTTCAGACAGGATATGGCAAAAGGTTTTTGAGGTTATGCACCGTATTCATAAACCTGTGTTCGTTTTCGTTTTGTGCCGCAGGGTATGTCGATTGACCAGCTGATCGGCCTTATCGAGAAGTTGGAGCACAGTTCACAGGCACAGAACATGTCGCCGCAGCGGATCACCGCCAGCCTGATGCGCCGCTTCCGATACGACGGCATTATCGATCAGGTGAGGTCCGGACTCATTCGGAGAGACCCGACCCGAGTGACCGGTCCAGCGGCGACCCCAGTTAAAACCCATCGTGCGAGGAAGACACCTGATACGGGCTGGCTCCCGCGGCTCCCACCTGCCTATGTATACTCGTATGTCATAGCGCATACCTTTGCGACGTATTTGGCCAGCTTATCGAGTGCATCAGCACTGATTATGATCTGATTCACTTTACTTGTGCAACTGCATGTCCCTATTTGTCATGGGATCCTCGCTCATGATTACACAGTTCACAGCAGCACACTAGTCCTAATCCTTCAAATGGAAAGTGACATACTTTGAATAGTTGGTATTTTTATCTATTGACGTAAGTAAAGCAAAAGCACGCAATGCTGATAATATCTGCGTAGCAAGATAGTGATTATATCATCATATCTCTACGGCTTTAGCGTTCTGTAGACACACGCTGGGAATGCCACTTTAAATGACGTTCAGGTAGAATAAACTCAATACGATAGTGCTATTTCCTTTTTATACTTAACGTCTATTTGAAAATGAACATATCGCCATATAATTATTATGCTATAAATTGATGAAAGGACAATGTTCGTCTCCAGTCGCACCATTGACTTTTGTTAATTCACCTACCATATAATCAAGGAATTGATTAATACATAGATCGATATAAATGGACTCTATCGCTACCCTATCACCAACCGCTGAGGTTGCCTGTGGTGCGGTAGAAAGTCAGCTCGGAAATGTCCTCAAAGGCGTACACGATCATCCAGCCGTCCCCCTCCCACTGCTGATGTTGGAGCCGTATGTACACGGTGCTGTAGCCGTCCAACCGCTGAGGTTGGAGCCGTACACGGTCCTCTCCAGCCGTCCTCTCTCCCACTCCTGAGGTTGGAGCCGTACACGGTGCTGTAGCCGTCCCACCGCTGAGGTTGGAGCCGTACACGGTCCTCTCCAGCCGTCCTCTCTCCCAGTGCTGATGTGTTGTGTTCCGGCAGAACGTCAACTCTGAGATGTCCTCCTACCTGGAGCCGTACACGGTCATCCAGCCGGAGAACTCCAAGTACCAGATGATGACACGGCTCGTCCAGCTGGCCAATGCCAACTTCCCCGACGAAGCCTTCACGCTGGAGGAAAGGGTAAGACATCTGCCCGATACGCTTACCTTCAGTGGCTGAAAACAAAAGGTGGAGATTATTTATTAAATGAGAACATGAATGTCAGTCACTGATGACTGAACTGAACGCATGGGTGATTTTCATCACGAAAAATATTATGTTTACGAAAAACTTTTAAACCGCATGCAGCTATGCGCAAAATATGCGCCTATGTAAATAACAATAAGATTTTAGTGATATGCCTCACCACTCGTCCCCCCCCCCCCCGCCGTTGGACAGTGCACCATGCACTGGATGCTGTCCCACTCTGTGAACGAGACGGAGCGCGAGGATGAGAACGACTACTGCGCCAGGTCGTTCCGGCGCCGACGCCGACGCCGGCGCGCCGCCCGCCGCTACAACTCGCGCAGCTCCTCCAGCGGCTCCTCGGCCAAAACCGCAGGAGGATTTGTGTAAGTGAGCGGCTCCTGCCGGAGGATTTGTGTAAGTTAGCCGCTCCTGCTGGAGGGTTTGTGTAAGCTAGCAACTCCCGCCTGAGGATTTGTGTAAGCAAGCGCTCCTGCCGGAGGATTTATGTACGTTAGCAGCCAGCAGGTCCTGCCGAAGGTTCTGTGTACGTTAGCGGCACCTCCACGATAGCGGTCTCATAAGACCGCCGGAGGATTTGTGTACATACATTATTAGGTAAGACGGGGTCGATCGGGCAAAAGTGAGCATGAACATGTCATAGGTGGCGCGTCATGAAAGCTCAAAGATAGGTAAAATGATATTGTATTATACCTGTTGCAGGCACTTTAGAAAATCAGTCATTTTGTAAAATGCCTAGGCATTTTACAAAAAGACGGCTGTTTGAAAAATGACTGAACGCAACCAGGCTTTTTCAAAATGGCTAGCCATTTTACAAAATGACTAGGCATTTTGCAAAATGCCTGACCAGCATGGAACGTAGATCCCACTACAGATACTATGGCCAAAGTTTTTGGACGTCTTCCTATACCCTATAGGTACGTGTTCAGCCTGTAGCTGATCGATTTGAAGCTCTGTGATGACGACAATGCTGAGTAACGACCTGGTTGAGTTGCAGACTCGGCTGTAGCATAAAGCATTGTTTAGTTAACGCTGTAAAAACTCCCAAGTACATCAACGCCGTTCACGTTCTGCCTGAAACTAGACCTAACAAAACCAGCCGGAGACCGGCCCTAGTCAATAGGCAGGCTCGGTTGATGTACAATTACGTGTAAACGAATGAGTGTAGTCTTTGTTTGATTGTGTCTTTGTTTGACAGCTTTGAGTACCTACTTGCATGGTCCCAGTTAAAAATATCAAGCTCCATATCGGGAGAATCATCAGGTCGCTTGGCGTAGGACAAGAGCGTTGGTTTCAGAAGATACTAACGCCTAAGTGTGTGGGATCGAATCCTCGCGACCTCTAATGGTTTTACAGATACAGGCCGGCATAGGGCCAGTCGTTTGTTGACGCTCCAGATCGATCATTTTAAATCCAGCAGCGTCGCTGACGTGGGGGTTGGAAATGTCGCGGGCCTGCACTTCTCAAAATAGAGAGAAGTAGGCATGGACTTCCCACTGCTGGACTCCTCTGGTCATAATGCTGGACTCCTCGGTCCACATACACGCTACCAAAACGTATATTAATTAGGTACTCGTATCTACAACACGCTGCTCAGTCATTTTGTAAAATGGCTAGGTATTTTGCAAAATGCCTAGGCATTTTGCAAAATGACTGGAGAGTCAGTCATTTTGTAAAATGCCTAGGCTTTTTGCAAAAAGCCTGGAAAATCAGGCATTTTGCAAAATGCCTAGGCATTTTACAAAATGACTGATTTTCTAAAGTGCCTGCAACATACCTACCAATCAGTTTGTCAATGCGTTGATACTAGTTGTTTCAGAATAAAAACCCGGCAGATAGAGAACACATTAAAATTAAGCATTAGTTTTCCTTTTATTGTGTCATGCTGCGATTTGACGGAATCGCTGCTTTATTTGCAAAATTGGCTGACATTTCATTGAACGTTTCTTTCATGCAATGCTGGATATTCTGCAGCGGGTGAGTAAGCCAAGTTCTTGAGTTTATGCATCATGCAAAACAACTCAGCAGTGTCGTGTCAGAGCGACATTTCATTGCAAATCGGTTGGTTTGCACTGCTCTGACCAACATAATTACAATAGCTTGCTACCTACTAGAATTGCACTTTGAGTAGATCATTACCCGCATACCAGAGCGGTATAATGTCCTACACGTAACGGGAAAATTGCAAATGGTACCTACCTATGCACTTTTCATTATCACTAAGTGTAACCGAAGGTTAATGTTCAATAGTTAAAAACACTTTTCGTAACCATTGGAGAGTTCCAGGACATATAGGTACCCACTGGCGCAACTTCACGCATCTCCATGTTTGCACAATATTTTTGCGGTGGTCGTGTTGTCTGCTCTGTCGCTAGAGCGAAAGTTGAAGAAAAAAAGAGCGAAATTTGATGATTCGTGGTCCATTATCAGAGGTTTGACGGCCGGTGCTCTGACTTCAGCATGTCCCAAATAGGGAAAGGGGTTTGACGCCGGCCTGTCCCAAATAGGGAGCGTGGTTTGACGTCGACCCGTTAGGCGGCACGGGCGGACATCGATAGCAGCGCCTCTATCGGTCACTAGGGAAAGCTGGGCTGTAGGCGACGATATACCGGCTGAGTTGTCACACGTTGCATAGGTTTATAGCCATCCGTCTTGTGAAAAAGTTGAACTTTTGCCTTTAATATTTCTACAGGCAATTTTAGAAGTGTCTTCACATGGATTACAAAACCGTTTAGAAAATTGTATTTACTTCAAGCCTTCCCTATTGTTCTTGATGATGCGGGAACTATTTATAATTAGTGTTTCTAGCTTAGTAAAAGAACATACTGTGCAAACGATGAAAAAAGCATAAATGGAAGATTTTAAATGCAATTTTCTCTAACAATTAATGGTAAATTCTTTACATATCAAGGAAAAGGTGCATGCTAACTGATAATTTAAAGTTCTTGGGGCCAGTTGTTTTCTTCTTTTCTTACGTCGCCCCAATGGCCGCGAATACACTTATGATAACGCCTATCGCTGTCCCAAATAGGGAGCGTGGTTTGACGTCGACCTGTCCCAAATAGGGAGCGTGGTTTGACGTCGACCTGTCCCAAAAAGGGAGCGTGGTCTGACGTCGGCCTGTCCCAAATAGGGAGCGGGGTTTGACGTCGGCCTGTCCCGGTGGTAGCGTGGTTTGATGTCCGAGCGTGGTTTGACGTCGGAGCGTGGTTTGACGTCGGCCTGTCCCAAATAGGGAGCGTGGTCTGACGTCGGCCTGTCCCAAATAGGGAGCGTGGTTTGACGTCGGCCTGTCCCAAATAGGGAGCGTGGTTTGACGTCGACCTGTCCCAAAAAGGGAGCGTGGTCTGACGTCGGCCTGTCCCAAATAGGGAGCGTGGTTTGACGTCAGCCTGTCCCGGTGGTAGCGTGGTTTGATGTCCGAGCGTGGTTTGACGTCGGAGCGTGGTTTGACGTCGGCCTGTCCCACATAGGGAGCGTGGTTTGACGTCGGCCTGTCCCCAGCAGCGGTAACGTGGTGGAAGAGGATGCCAGCAGCTGCCCGCTGGAGCTGGGCGTCATCTACTCGCCGTACGGCACCGTGGCGGCCGGCTCACTCATAGCAGGTCAGTCGTAGACCGGCTCCTCTAGGTAGATGTAGGTCAGTGTGATGTGTATCATAGTCGCACTATAATATGCCAATTGCCCAACAACGTCATTTTCTTTCCACCACCGCGCCGCCCGGAGGTCTGTCTGATCAGGCCTCCGTGAGGCGGGAACCTCCCGCTCCCCACCGGAGGTTTGGAGGCTGGGTCCGAGAAGTCACCTAATCCTAACTCTCCCGTGGGTCTATCTGTCCAGTACGTCACCTCCCTGCCCTGCAGGCCTGACTGTCCAGTACGTCACCTCCCTGCCCTGCAGGCCTGACTGTCCAGTACGTCACCTCCCTGCCCTGCAGGCCTGACGTCCAGTACGTCACCTCCCTGCCCTTTCCCTGCAGGCCTGACTGTCCAGTACGTCACCTCCCTGTCCTGCAGGCCTGACATCCAGTACGTCACCTCCCTGTCCTGCTAGCCTGACGTTCAGTACGTCACCTCCCTGTCCTGCAGGCCTGACTGTCCAGTACGTCACCTCCCTGCCCTGCAGGCCTGACTGTCCAGTACGTCACCTCCCTGCCCTGCAGGCCTGACTGTCCAGTACTCCAGTACGTCACCTCCCTGCCCTGCAGGCCTGACTGTCCAGTACGTCACCTCCCTTTCCTGCAGGTCTGTCCGTCCAGCACGTCACAAACCCCCTCCCTTTCCCTGCAGGTCTGGCGGCCGGTCTCTCCGAGCAGGACGTCACAAACCCCCTCCCTTTCCCGGCAGGTCTGGCGGCCGGTCTCTCCGAGCAGGACGTCACAAACCCCCTCCCTTTCCCGGCAGGTCTGGCGGCCGGTCTCTCCGAGCAGGACGTCAGCGTGGAGGATACCGTGGGCGCAGACACGCTCACCATGCAGTCGCTCAGCGACCAACAGCGCCGGCTGCAAATCAACAACATCTGGGCGACCACGATAGCTGGTGAGGGAGCCGGCGCGGCAGTCTGCGGCGGTCCGTGCGGGTGCACGTGATCCCTCGTGGGTATATGTGGTTCCAACTGGTCTCCGGCGGTTCCCCGTGGGTCCAGACATTCCCCGTGGGTCCAGACGCTCCCCGTGGGTCCAGACGGTCTCCGTGGGTCCAGACGGTCTCCGTGGGTCCAGGTGATCCCTCGTGGGTACAGGCGGCTCCCCGTGGGTCCAGACGGTCCCGTGGGCTCATATGTGGGATGGTCCCCGTGACTCAAGGACTCCCATATGGGACCATGGATATTGCAGGTGCTAGGTGGCAGCGAAATATGTGGTTCCCAGTAGTTCAAAACAGAGATTATGAAGGTATCTGTCCGACAGTTGCTGATGACCTGACTGCTATGACATATTGCATTGGTTTGACATAAAGGAGCGATGGACATTGTGTTGTGTGGAGACCTTGAACCACTATGTATAAGTGGCTACTTTTCTAATACAGCACTAAATGTACCTATATCAGAAGTCATTATCAGGTTGCGTTTCTGCTGTTCCATAGGGAGCTGTTGATGTGTGTGTTTCGTAAATTTATTTCAAAATGTAGCTCACTAACCAATTAGCATTTTATATCATACAGTAAAAAATTGTTCAATATCTGCTTTCACTTTAAATTCTCTCAGCTAGCCGCCGCTCCTCCCCCCCCCCCATTGACCCCGCCTTGGCGATCCCCTACCCCCTGACCCCTGCCGTGGCCCCGTCAGGCGCTAGTTCCTCACTGACCCCTGCCGTGGCCCCTTCAGACGTCATGGTTCCTCACTGACCCCTGTCGTGGCCCTGTCAGGCGACATTGCTCAGACGGCGCTGCATTACGAGGGCGGCGGTCAGAACAACAACGCGCCGCAGGTGATCGGTCCGACCGGCTACTGGAACTGCACCTACTGCCCCCACGAGTACAACATGCCCGACAGCGACGCCATCTCGGCGCTGACCAACGCAGAGATCTACGGAGGCATCGACGGTAGGCGCCTGGGCTCCTCGGAGACGGCACTAGGCCGATGGGACCGCTGTCGAAAACGAAACGGGAGCTCAGAGCTGCGGACCTGCAGCCACGCTGGTCCCGGCTGATTCGACCTATAAATTGATAAGCTAGGCTACTTGATCAGGTATACTTTATTGAATCAGATATGCTTTGTTACTTACTCAGGTATACTCGTTGAAAAGCGCGAATGTATATGGCGCGGTTCGGATCCGAGTGCGTCGGTGTGACCGTGCCGTGGCGCCCTCAGGGTACCTGCTCGGCTCGCAGATCTACCGCTGGTCCAAGCAGACCGGATTCCGACTGTCGTCACTGCTGCGTATGTACTACTCTCCCGATGGAGTGAGCTACGACCGCCAGTTCCGCGCCTGCGACCGACTCACCAACTTCCTCAACGGCGACCTGGTCAACCAGGACACACTCAAGACCCAGGTCAGTGCGAAAGACCCAGGTCAGTAGGGGAGAGTGGGGCAAAGCGGCCAGCCATCGTTTTAGCCCTCCACAGCTGGCGTGAGGTTCAATTTATGGTTGCCAATTATACTCCTCTTTGCGGTCGTCCGAATGAGCCAGACCAGAGTTTCCGGCCCGTCATCATTGTTCTGTGATACACGGAAAAGCATTTCTTGCCAGGTTACTAACTATTTTTACGATTTTTAAATGTTGTTTTATTCATACTTGTTTGGAATTTTACTTGAGCGCTCTTGTTCGTGCATTATGTGGTTATCATATTTGTCTTTTACCAATTTTAATGCTTTTGTCCCACTAAAAGCTAAGCTGGAATATTTTTTGTCTCTGACGTTATGCTCGGGGCAAAGTGGACCGGGCAAAGAAGACGGGGCAAAGTAGCCAGCTCCGAAAAGGTCATAAGTTGTGTCCATTTGCACAACAAACGCTATTGATATTGCAATGTGTCGTCATGCATTCATCTCGGCCACTTGTCGGTTAGGGGAGAGCGGGGTGAGTTGTATCATGTCCAAGTTGTATCAGGGCGAATTGTGCCAAACTTATCCAATAGATAGCGCTCGTGACACGACCAGCCGACGAGTTTTTCCGGGCGCCATCTTTCCTTGTTATGTCGTGTGGCTGGGTGGACGCGTCTCGAGGTGAGAGCCGATTTTATGTTTTTTTAATGTCATTCTAAAGAAATAAGTTGCAAGAAAATGTGTGTTTTGGGCATTTACATAGATGTGCACGGATTTGAAAGATCTCCGTAGCGGTGGTGAGGGTAGGTTCTAAGGCTGCGTGAGTGAAAATGGATTTCTCCAGCTGTCCGCTGTTTTTGAGCACGAGGATGTTTTTTTCAAGATGGCGGCGAGGTACATGTTGTATCAGAGCCGGGTGGGGTATGTTGTAACATGTATGTATGGATGTATGTAAGGGTATGTTGCTTTTGATCGCGAAAGCTAAGCCCTGGCTGGCGTTTGTAGGTAGCTAGTCAATACTCGTTCCATTTCGGCACAATGTGTTGGCTTCTTTGCTCTTAACGGGCCACTTTTGCGTCTAGTCTGTTGATGTTTCGTTCGTTTCGATGTTTCGTTCGGATTGCATTGACCTAAGTTTGGTCTAATAAAAGTGAAGCCTTTGAACATATACATTGTATTAACCCCATTTAATGTTGTTGTTACATATGTTCAAAACCAGTAGCAAGCACACTCCCTGAAACGTGAAATACCTAGTGATACAAATTACCCCACCATATGATACAACTCACCCAAGCCATGGGGCAAGTTGTATCAAAAACATTGTTCTATTCGGCAGACCGTAGAAGAAAAACTGGTAGAGGTAGCGAAAAAGTTACTTTGCACAAAAAAGCAGAAGAATCAAGGTAGAGGATAGTATGGAAATAATGAGTTTATCACGGATAGTTACGAGGTTATGGGTCTCGGAGTAAAAACTGATACAACCCACCCCACTCTCCCCTACATGAGTCACCAAATAATGTAATTTAAATGTTTTTTCTATGAATGCTCTTTCCTGGTGTACCTACAGGTGGGAAGATGAGAAATTCAACATCTATCCTTGTTTATACCTCGTCACCGCCAAATACCCTAGTCGTACATGTGGCAACTATTCTATTTCTCATATTGGGACTTTAAAGTCACCGGTGGCCACTTTGCCCCAGTGCGTGTATGGGGCAAAGTGGCCAAAATGCATAGGTTTAACCCGCGCACACTGGGGGGGGGGGGGGGGCATTCATAGCCCCCTCCCGTTTTTCTGCATTAGCCCTCGCCGGCACAGGCCATTTTGCGTCCTTCGACGGCACAAGGGGGGGGGGGTGGTACGACCCCCCCTCGCGTTTGGCCCCTGATCGAGCTAGAGCTTCCCGGAAAAAACGAGCGTGTTGCCCGTCACCAGAGGAAGCCGATGATACCCAATTTTAAGGTCCTAGGTCATCGGGTGACTTTCCAGGTCAGGTCAATGACCCGAAAACCTGGAAAATCGGGACCTGTTAGAAAGTCGTAAAGTGTGGCTGCTATGTGGTTTTCCGGGGTGCTGATCACGAATATCGTGTTAGTTTTGATCAAAGATGATGTCTTTAAGCATTTAGACTAGGTCGGGTCAGGTCAGGTCAGGTCAACCGGTAGGGGTTGTGACGGGTATTCGTAATACGTGTCAACCGCCTCTGGCAGCTTCGAAACATGTTACGAAGGCACCAAAACTACTTCGTAAATGTTCAAATGGTTGCTAAATTCGAATTCAGCTCCAAAAACTGGCCTAGAAACATGTAAAACTCGAAAAAGTGAACCGAAGTCACCCGAGGTCACCAAAGGTCAATGACCTGACCTGACCTTCAGGTGACCTTGACACCCACCCTTATGTATGGGAGCAACATCAAATCACATGTTTGAACGTTTGAAACCACGAAAAGCTTGCAAACGCGCGGCTAATGCGAGCCGACATACGCCGAATCGCGATTTCGGCCAAACATGGTCACGGAATAGAGGTCACAGGTCAAAGGTCATTGGGGTCAGGGTCATGAAATTTTCAGGGAACGTGTAAAATTGATCAATGCGAGGGTACTGAAAGTTTCGTCGCGATCGGCCGCTTTTTACGCGAGTTATTCGCGAAAAACCTTAGGGGGGGTTGCATCAACCCCCCCCCCCCCCCTGTGCCGGCGAGGGTTAACCCGCGCCCCACTGGGGTCTGTATGACACGCCCTACCGGGAGGGGGGCTATTCATAGCCCTCCCCCCCTCCTAACTCCGAAACTACTGCGCCGATGGTCAAAATTCAAAGGCATCTGATAGCCCCGGAAAAAAAAAATGTCGAGCGAAACCTACTTTCATTGACCTCTAAGTCACCGATGACGTCACAGGTCAGGTCAAAGTAAAAATTATCGATATTTAGCTTGTTCACATTTTGGGCTCTGGCTGCCGTCCTACAAGTCAGATCAGGCTGATTTTTGGTTTACACACTTGTGAGCAGATGCTTTAGATACCCTGATGGTATTAACCCGCGCACCGACGGGGGGCGGATGACCGCCCCCCCCCCTGAGATCTCGAGAACAAAGCAAGGTAGCGACAAGCGGTAAACGGCATCGGATACGCACGGACAAGGTCTACAATTTTTACACAGGTCATTTTCAGGTCAGGTCAAAGATGACGTCACAGGGGTCGAAAAAGTCAAAATGGCGGCGCTAGATATGGAGAGAGTTTTTCTCGAATAACTTTCGAATTAGTCAAGATAGGAACAAACTAAGGGCAGCATCGTGATCCTCTCGTCAATTCGCATCGAATGATATATATGTTGACCTCGAAAGGTCAAGGTCAAAGGTTGACCTCAGGTCACGTGACCTCGAGGTCATTATGTATATCATTCGATGCGTCTTGACGAGATGAACACAATGAGACCATCCGCGCGGCTGTATCTTGTTCCTGTACGGAGTTATTGGCAAAAAAACCTTTGGTGACCTTTGATGACGTCACATGACCTTACAGCTGCCCAACAGCAAAACAGACCTAAAGGTAGTGAAGGTTGGTCGTATATGAAGTCATGTATGGTATATGGGGCCATTCCGACCCGTTTTAGTGGTAAAAACAGGGAGTTGATTTTCCCCCCCCATTGACTTATAATGGGGAGGTCGCGAAATTGACCTGACCTTAGGTCACCGACATTAAAATTCCGAGATATACAAATTGTAGCTACTAATGACCTAATAACATCCTGCGACTTTCAAAGGCCTCCGACATCTACTGTAGCTCTGGCACGGTGACAAAGTTGCAAAAAAGTGACTTGAGGTTGGGTCATTCAAAGTGACCTGGTGACCTGACCTTAAAAGTTAGGAGGTTCAAACTTGCACACCATGTGTAAAATTGATGAGAGAATAGTCGTACCTAATTTCCGCTATCCGCGAAAAACCTCAGGGGGGCGGATATCCGCCCCCCCCCCCGTCGGTGCGCGGGTTAAACTTGTACTTTGATTTTCAGGTCAGGGTCAGGTCATCATAGGTCATGGAAATTCTATGTCATAAGTCGGTCACGTGACACATGTTTTATGGTCCATTTAGGCCATATCTTTCGAATTCGGTGTCGCCTGTGTCATTTGAGGCAATGTTCATCTGAATATAGCTGAGGTCAGGTTCAGGTCAAAAAAGGTCAAATTTCAAAGTTGCAATTTTTCAACCAAAAAAATGTCCATCGGATGCAGTTGGAGCACAGGAACACGATGGTGCTATTTATATTGGTGTACGATGTCAAATTCGTACAGAAAATTGATTTGAAAAAAGTGAAATTTTTGTTATGATGCGTATAACTTGGCCATTTTTTTAAGATATCTGGCTAACACTTGCTAGGGTAAGTCATAAGCATGTGTTCTATCATATATATTCTAGTTTATTTTCAAAAAATCAAAAAGTTTTTGAAAAAATTATAAAATACAAATTTTGAACTTTATATGAACAATTTTCGAAGTTTTCAAAATTTTGAAAATTCGAGATAGCAGTTTGATAGCGCAGTCCATTCTGAGTCGTCTCATGCAAAAAATGGATCTAGCTAAAAAACCGAGCTCTTGGGAGCGATTCCCGTGGTTCAATGCTTTGCGTCGAAATCGGCCGAACATGACGTCACTCTGACGTCATTTCTGGCCACCCTATGATAGAAACGAAGTGCTTGGTGGCGATATGTCAAACGGTTTAGAAGTTGCTGCAGAAAAACGGGAGGGGGCTATGAATAGCCCCCCCCCCCCCCCCAGTGGGGCGCGGGTTAACTTCTGCCGCTTGACGTATCGACCCAACTTTCAATACCTTCGGCTGCATCAATTTGACACCTTGTAGTGACGAGCTGTGCCCGATCGCGTAGTGTACATATGTTATGTTTGTTTGTTTGTTTATGTTTGTTGTCATATGTTTGTATCGTGTATATATTCTCTGTACCTAATGTGTCCGCCACTGCGCGTGTGGACCTACAGGAACTGTGCGCCGTTCTACATGATAGC